CACAGTCTTTCTCACTCCCCAGCTGTTCCTCCCGGTTTATGCTCACGCAAATGTGGGACGGCCCGGTTCATCAGCCACCTTCTCGCATGTCTGGTCCTCCAGCGACCGCCTTGTCTGGTGTGCTTTCTGCCCTGACTGCCCATCTCTGCCCCTTCTACCAGTCTGGATGAATGTTTCTTCTTTAATTCTTTCGTTGTTGGACCTCCATACAGTTCTATTTTCTGGCAGTTCTGGTTGTTTTTGTTTTTAAATTGAATGTCGTCCTTCTTTTGGTTGTGCGAGGAGGTTAAGTATATCTACCTATGCCTCCATCTTGGCTGGAAGTCCGCTGCTTATTTATTAAGGGAAAGTCTGAACTATAAGGGACTTCTTTCTTACAAGGTAGTTGTAAAGAAGTTCGGCTATAGTGCTAACTTATTCAGTAACTAAAACTATGGTAATAAAATGTAACCTAAAAAACTTCTTAGGTGGACTTGCCTACAAAGCATGTAAGAAATGTAATTAACCTGGTAACTATACATACTTAAAATAATTCTTTATAACTTTGAATATTCTTGTAATTTCTTTGTCTTTAATATTTAAACAATTCTCTCCTGACCTGTTCAAAATTATAAAATTAGGATTATTTTACAGCAGAGTTTTCCTGAATCAAGTATTAGCCCAGTGCATGTCTAAATTTTCCTAAAATCAAAATTACTAGCATCAAAATTAATAATATCTCACTTCAAAAGTATTCTTTATTTCTCTATTTACTCATACACATCTTTCTACATTTGTATAGTTTTGCTATATTTTTATTTTAACTCACAGGAAACTTCAGCTATGGTAGAACATGGTACAATTCATTCTATATAAACTAATAAAGCCTCTATTATGTACCAGCTGTGTGTACCAGAATCCAAGACATTTGATGTGTAGCCATATTCTGACTCTCATTGTAATCTTGAGCACATCCCTTAATTTTACCCTCTCACCTATAAAAAGGAGTAGAAATAGGGAAAGTTTGGAATAGATGGTATTTTTTGTTCTTTACAGATTTAATAATGTGTGAATCCTTGAGTTGAATGATTCTCTTTTGTCTTCTCTTTAAATACCATTTCTACTTTTAATTTCTTTAGTTAAAGAAAAGCTTTTCCTAGTTATATAGAACTACAATTTTAACAATTGACATCTCAAACTTTAAACTGAAAAAATTAATCATATTATATTTTGTGCCCTTTAGCCAAAGGATGACCCACTTTCATCTGAAAAGAAATCCTCTCTAAGCCCAAAGATCTGGGAGAGCTATATATAAAACAACGAGGAGAAAGACACTTGCCTGATAAGTCAGATTATATATCAACCTTTGTGGTCAGTGAGTGACAGAAGTGTTAGTAATAATAGTACTAACCTTTCATTTGCTCTAAGCTGAGATATATGTTACTCCTTTTAAGACTTAATGTTTCAAGTGTAACAAAAGATATAGTCTACCATGTGGATGGGGAAAGAATAAGCAGCAATTATCTGAGATTCCACAACCTTCTTAAATACTGGATTACCCTGGCAAGGGAAAGGCTGAACAAGGATAGGATGATTTTACCTTGCCAACAATTTATAAATTGGAAAGAAAAGAGTCAGGACGGGTATACACATTTGTAATAGATCCATGGGCAACAGGAATTTCAGTATAACTTCTTGTACCACAGGTGAGAGTTCAGACTTCAAGAGATTCTATTCAGTCCAAGCCAGCAAAGACAAGTAGAGGGACAGTACTCAAATCCAGGAGATATGGACGACTTCAGCTTCCAATACCCAGCACCAATTTCTGTAGGAAGAGACATAAATTGAGATAAAATAGAAGAATACAAGAGTGGAGTATGAGCGTAGCCAAGAGGAAGAGGACCTGACTTATGAAGAACTTTACCATGTAGCTTGTACTTTACTTAAGTAAATAAATAGTTTCGTCCCCACAGAGATTTTTGACAACTGTCAAATCTACAAGATAAACAACAAGAATCAGTATTTTGGCAAATATGTGGGCTACAGTTTTGAAAATGTAAAGAATGTCCAAAAATGTGGGCACAAACAGAATAGGAAACATGATACATAAACCTAATACCCTTCATATATGTTTACAGCAGATACAAGATTTTTTAATATGAGATAACAAATATATAAATTAATGTTAATTCTGTGAAAAGTTTGAAGAATATTACAAAAATTCTCAAGTCACTGCTGAATTAAAAATTTTTAACTTTGTGTGAATTTTGAATATGAACAGATTATGAGTACTTTGTTGAGGGACTGGATGTTGACAGAAATTTGAAGATACTTGTTGGGATGGAAACAATACTGGGAGTACGACATTCTAGATTCAGAAGTTCCCTTCCAAAGAATCCAGTGGGCAAATCAGTACGTGCAGAAGTGCACAGGCCAACTTCATGCTAATGTTTGCAGTTGTTTACTTATAGCACATGAATCTAAAATTGGCAAAATGGTAAATCTAAAGACATTTTTCACAAAATTGAATATTTTTTTACATAAGTTAATTTCATCTTTTTGCCACAGATAACATGAATCAACCAAGCTGGCGTACTTGTCTTCATATCATACAAATAGCAATCACAGGTAGTTTCTAACTCATGCTTCCTACTTCAGTTTTCTCAGATCCTATCTGATTGCCACACAGAAGTTCTAAGAGATTTGACCAAATGTTCTGTATCAAAACCAAATTTATTTAGGATATTAAAAGAATAGAACCTCCATTGGTCATGAAGAAAAATGAAACGTAAGTTCACTTTGCAAGGAGAAAGGAGATGCCATAGAGGAACACACAGGATGGAATTCCCACCCCACTTAGTTTGCAGGATATTGACCCTCTTGATATATCTCTTTTTATTTTCACTTGAGTTTCCACTGGAAAACTTACTTTAGGTTCCAAATATGGCTAATTATTTACATTCATTTCTGCACATGAATAGAATACCTCTACTTCCTTCATAAGCACTTATTATACCTAGCAGGCTAATGAGTCTACATATGTTAGTTATATTCACATTTTGGAGCCAGTGGAGTTACAAAAGTGTCTTTACCTAGTCAGGCACCTGATAATTGTATTTATTCTAAGATATTCCAACTGAAACAAAGTATTTGGAATAAGAATCAAGAAAGCACTCAGTAAAAACGCTGTGCACTTTTATATCAGTGCCAAAGTGTGGGTTTGACCTGTGCTATTATATAACTTAATCCATGCTATTGTGGGCATAGCAGATATGTTATTTAGGGTATTGTTGGAATGGAACTGAGAAAGATACCCTAGAGTAAATTCCTATTTGGCTTATTTCAAATCTTGTTAAAATAGTCAAAACAAGATCTATTTTGTTAGAAGTTTTAAATCTTATTTCAGGTTCAGCTTGGATAATTAGCAGATGTTCTCATTTTTAAGAATTTTTAAACTATTTTACTAGTTTGCGATAGAAAAAGCGTGCACAAAGTACAAAAAAAAAGAGTATATTTTAAAAATACTGGAGAATATACAGTGAAAAATGTCTCTTCTAACCCCCTGACCTCCAGCCACCCATTTATACTCCAAGGGTTAAGCACTGTTACTGAATTTTGGTGTATCCTGGTAGAAATAGTCTATGCTCAGATGAGCGTATAGTATTCAGCCCCCCCGTTTTTTTTTAAACAAGTGGTAACAGAGTGCCACCCTGTTGTATACTTTGTGTTATTTCACACAATATGTATGTTAGAGGTCGGATATATGGAACTCAATAGGAGTATGTTTGCAACTACATTCTTTTTGGTGGTTTCTGTTACATTGTATAGATACAATTTATTTCATTGTTCCCTCATTAAGAAGCTTTAGTTCATCAATCCAGTGAATATCCTTATATTATTTTATACCTGTGTTATATACCTGTAGGATAAACTCTTCTATGTGAAATTCCTGGGTCAAAAATGGTTGTGCTCTTTCATTTTGATAAGATTTTGCCAAATTGCTATCCATAGATGTTGTATTAATTATACCCCTACAAAGAATTACGGAGAGTGGTAATTGTAGTAATTATCAGAGAAACAAATAATCTTCATTATGTGACTATGAATGACTTTTAGACCACAGTTAGAGTCATATAGAAGCTACTATTTCGTTCTCTTCTTTAATGTTGGTAATCTGACATCTGGTATCCACTACAATTACAATTATTATCTCAGTTTTACAGATGAGGAAACTGAAATGCAGAGATATTATATAAGTTGAAAGAGTGGGTAGCTGACAGGACATGGACCTAAGTAGTTGGGAAGCTAGAGCCTGCCACCGGGCCAGGAGTCTGCAGTGCTCCTATGGTGCATTTAAAAAATTTTTTTAATCCTGTATGTACATTTCTTGAGTTGTTATCCATACCCTCATTACAAATAATTTTTCTCATATCTTTTTGTACTTTAAAAACCTACCTTTTACAGATGAAGCAGATTAAAATAGAAAGCTTTTATTTTATTTCAGTTTTGCCCTGAGGACACCTAGAAATTAGCACCAAGTTGAAATGATCTTTTACAACAGTCCCCCATATTAGAAATAAATATGCAGCAATTTTACATTTTTCATTTTAAAATTGATGGCCCTTGAGTTATATCAGAAATATGCCCAACAAGCTCCAAATAAACACTTACAATAATAAATGTTTGATTTTTTTTTTTTTAATAACTTCCTGTGGTTCTTCCAGCAAGCCCCCTGACAGTTCATGTGCATGCGAGTGGCTATATTCTGCACCTTGATGTGAGCCTAAGTGAAATATTGGGAGCATAAAAATTGCTTTTGGTAGGTCTGCTAGGAAGGAGTCACGTAAAAGCCATCTTTGATTTAGTAACGGATTTCTTTTTTAGATGTAGTGTATGGCAGCAGTGGTGTGCATCCTAAAGGAAAAATCATCCATTTTATACGTTTATTTTCATATTTTATACAGTTTAGTTCTGTTGTGTGTTTTTGATTTAGTAACAATTTATGTGTTTTTCTGTTGCAGAGCACTGCGGCCTGTGGTGTGGAGGCTCACAGCGATGCCATCCAGCCCTGCCACATCAGAGAGGCTATTCGACGCTACGGCCACAGGATTGGCCCCCTTTCCCCATTCACAGTACGTAATAACAGAGTTATAAAAAGTTATATTTATAATCTGAAAGAATTTTGATTTTCAAGTGGTCAAATGAAGAAGCAATGGAATTGTTGAAAGCAATTTGTGGTGACTGTAATTTTGTTGTATAAAAGTGGCATAATTCTCTTGGGAAATAAAAGTTAGTCATTTTTGTCTCTTTTTGGAAGGACAATTTTTTTCTACAAAATATTATTTTCCTTCAATTACAAATTATGCTTTTTTTGTTGGACCTTATATTTTCTATTTTTCAAAGCTTAGGTTTATAAAACTTTTTTGTCAAATTATATGTATCCAAATATTGCTAGAAGCACTTTATATTTTAAAATTGGTTAGATTGGCAATACCACTTCTATCAGATGTCCTGCTCCTAAACATACTTTGACTTGGAAGAAGAAGAAATGATTTCTTTACTGGCTTTGAAGTAGGCTGAAATGCAGACGGTCTTTCACATCTTCAAATGCTTTTAAAGCTTATAATCAGGGTTTGTTGTGTTTTGTTTTGTTTTTTTTTAAAATAGAGAATTAAAGGCTGTATTTCAATAGCTTAAAGAAAGTGTATGTGTATGCATTAATTAAATGTTCATCTTGTGGCCCTTTAAAAAAAATCTTTATTCATGTTAATAGAACTATCTCTAAGTACTTCTCTATTTATAAGGAATTGATTTTCAGAAAGTGAGGTTTGATTTATGACTGAGAAACAGAACATTTACCATTTGTTTCTCTTCTTTTTATCTACTTCTGCTTTAATATACTAAAGCAAAATATCTATGTATAACATTATATATACAGACACACATCATTGTACAGGGTGGGGCAAAGGTAGGTTTACGGTTGTGAATACGCTAAACGGTTCATTCTTGTATTATTATTTAATAGTTATTATATTTTTTCTGTATGGACAATTGTAAACCTACTTTTGCCCTACCCTATATACTGTAAGTTAATATTTATCTAATACATATACAACCAATATGCCTTTGAAGCTAATGATGCAATTTTAAAATGCTTAATTTAAATAGATCTGGAAAATAGAACAAATTAGCCATGACCTAGAAGGTTCACGCCACTGCCAGAGCACATGGGCAGAAATCAGCAGTGAATGGTAAAGAACAACACCACAGAGGTGCACCCCGGTTTTTATCACTCCTCAGAAAGGACCCACCTTGAAAGTTGTGTTTCATTACTTAGAGCTGTAAGAATTTTCCCAGCCTACAAGACTAAGTATGCCTGTTGCATTTTATATCATGAGTAACAGGATCAGGAAGACAGTTTCTCTCTCTCTCTCTCTCTCTCTCTCTCTCTCTCTCTCTCTCTCTCTCTCTGTATTTATGCCTTTTTAAGTTAAAAATTCTATTCTATTTAAAGCGGGATAGATTTGCAAACTGTTTATGCTAACAATGTGACCACCCTGCCCTGGCTGTCACATACCTTCAACTGCTAAATGGAGGTGCTTCTGATGTTGGGGGGTACTGATGCTCAGTTCCCAGATGCCCACTCCCTGAGATGGTGCTTTATGTGTCCCTAGGGACACTTTGCTTCTAGACTTTGAGTCACAGCTCCTGAGAAGAAAGGAGGCATGTGGGCTACCTCCATAGTCACCATAGATTGAGACCTAAATTTTCATACAGAAAGGGTAGGCTAACTTAACGTCCATTGTAAAATTTCCTTTGTAAACTAAAATGCCCGCAAGCAACTAGTTTGTATTTATGGACATAGAGATCTTGTCTTTGCAACATGTCATTCTGAATCTAGAATGCTTGTCTGATGTATTTTTAAATAAGATACCTAACTTAGAGCATTTATAACTTGATTCATATGTAGCCAATAATTTGAAATGGATTTGGAGAAGTAAAATAATCAAAAGGTCATACAGAAACTGAATTCCAGCATCAGTCAGTAAATTAATAAAATGCTTTTAGTGAGGCATCATTCTGTCTTCTACTGTATAACTTTTGAAATAATTTATACAAAATCACAATATTATCAGTTTTGGGAATATAATTCACTGTATAAAGAATTGTGAGTTCTTCACCTTGGAAACTAGTTTAAATAATAGAAGAAATGAATGATTAAAACCCTGTTGGCTGGAGGAGAGGAAAAAGTACAGACAATGCTTTGCTCTGCATAGCTGCTGGAGTAAAAAAGAAAAGGGATTAGAGTGTAAATATCACCTGCCCCTCTTGTGAGTATTGTGGAGACACTTGTAAATTCTATCATGAGGCATGTCCTGTTGTTATATCCATTGCAGATATGTGGAAACTGAGCCATAGAGAGGTTAAGAAACTTCCTTAAGTCTACTTAGCTAGTTGGTGGCAGAGCTAGGATCTGAACCCTGGTCATTTGGTTCTAGGATCAGGTCAGTCACCACACAATATAACCTCATGTAATATCGATTATTGTAAGCAAAAGGACAATATAAGAAGCCAAGCATCAAAATCACTGAGGACATTCTAGGTTACATAAGTACTCTAAAATAACTACTACAAATCACAGACTCCGAAGTGATTTTCAGAGTTATTTAAGAAAAATAAAAGCTAAGCAAAAAGTAAAAGTAATCTCTTTAAATGTTCTTTAACATGTGTGTAAGAAGATCAGACATATATGGGTGAGGATAGTTGCAAAAATGTGTGTTTTAGGAGAAAGATTTTGGAGCTAAGAGTTGGAAGCCTTGAATTTAACATTGGTCCCATCACTTAATCAATAGCTTAACCTCAGGAAAATTACTTAAATCTTCTAGGTAGGATGCTTTCTGTGATCTTCTGGATAGGATTGAGAATATAGACAAGAAAGAACTCTACAATTAAAACCAATGTGCCAAAACAGTGCAGGCAGACCTCGGAGCTGTTGTGGGTTTGGTTCTAGACCACCACAATAAAGAGGGTGTCACAAATAGCAAGATGTAATCTTCTTGCTAATGAAGGGTCTTGCCTTCAATTTGTAAAAAATACAACATCTGTGAAGTGCAATAAAGTGAAGGTCAGTAAAATGAGGTATGCCTGCACTGTTACAATTGGTTGAGTAGGGATGGAGTACTATGAACATGATATGTGGTAAGCTCTTAATAAATTATATTAATAATAGTAGAAGTAGCTGTAGTATATTTTCTAAAATGTATAAATATACAGACTAAAGTAGAAGCCATTCTTTACATCATTCAATCTCTCTCTCTCACTCACACACACACAGGCCTTACTTTGCAATCACAGAAGAAACTAAATTCTGAATAATAATGTGATTGTTTTTTACACACTAATAGTTTATACCATTAAAAGTTAAATAGTACTTAAAGATTATTGTCTCTGAGAATAAATAGGTAGTCGTTTTTACTTTGAGGATTAATAATGATTGAAGAACATTAATTTTTCTTAATCACCATTATCACCTTGAAAACTAAGGTCTCCGTAACTGAGTGCACATAGTTACCAATAGATTTTTGCATATTAGATAGTATACCCTAGCTCTTATGCACAGAAATCTAAAGACCAAATGGTATGGCCTCAAATTTGTAAAACTTCATCAATTTCAGTTTTTATGAGTTTATAATTTGTGTAATTTAAGAAGTTTTCAGAGACTGATGACTATATCAGAGTTGGTGATAATTTCTTTTAAGATTTTATTGATTTATTTTTAGACAGAGTGGAAGGGAAGGTGGAAGGGAGGGAGGAAGAGAGGGAGAGAAACATCAGTGTATGGTTTCCTCTCACATGCCCCCTACTGGGACCTGGCCCGCAACCCAGGCATGTGCCCTGACTAGGAATCGAACTGGCAACCCTTTGGCTCGCAGGCCGGTGCTCAATCCACTGAGCCACACCAGCCAGGGAGAATTGGTGATAATTTTTTAAAACAAATCATTACTAGCCTCTATTTCTTCAGTTTTTTAAATTTCTTCATTTTACTATTTATGAAAGTAGTATTAATATGTTAGAAAATTAAGAAAATATAGGAAAGTAAAGGAAAACTTACATTAACAAGTGCATCAGGACTCATTGAACAAGGTGTAGCAAAAGTTTTAAATGTATTGTCCTATTAGAAAATTAATATTTTTATTGTATTTTTTCCTTTACTGTTTATCCCCCATACCCACTTCCACCTCTGTCCACCCCTCCCCCCTGCAATCACTGCACTATTGCCCATCAAAATTAATTTGTTTGAAGCGTATTTTCTTTTCGCAGCCTAGAACTTCAAATCTTTTGGTAATTGTTTTTTAAAATAATATTCTTAGAGTTTACTTGTGCAAGTTGAGATGTAAAAGACATTTTAAAATTTTGTGAATGAAGTGGATTTTTGTAGTTAGAGCATTTTGGTTTTTCTCTCAGAAAAAACACCCACAAGAGTAACCCAGTGTATTGGTTGTCTATCATAAAGAAGGTGGTGAGACATATGTTTTATCTAGATCCTTGCAGTTTACAAGCAGTGGTTGGGACCCATAGCTACCTACTCTGAAGCTCAATCCCATCACTCAATGGGAGGTGCTGTGAATGGCTGATATAAAACCAGGTCTATAATTTTGAAAGCCAGAGAAAGGAAACTGTGTTCACTGAGTGAGATGACATAATCCCATGTGTAATGCCTACATCTATTTTAATTTCTCCTCAATGATATTCAGAGTAGAAAAATATGTTAACCCGCTGAGCTTGCATGTTATCAGGTGGTTTCCTATTGAACTAGGGTAGTGCGACAATAAAATTGCTCATTTGAGTATGGTCATTAACCTAAAGCATCCCTAAGCATATCCGCAAAAGTGAGTTGCTTCAGTATCCACTAAGCTATTTTAAAGTCCAAGACAGAATCTTAGTACTTTAGAGCTGTCTAAGAATTGAGAAAGCAGTTAGTTCAGTCTCAGGGAAGCTTTGCAATGTACCCAAAGGCACCTTGTAGGGGAATGACAGGGCTGCCCTAGAATCCAGCCTCTGGACTCTCAGTTTACTGCTCTTACACTGTGGCCATTCACTTTGATGTGTATGTATCGATGATACAGGAATG